TTAGGGCACTCTGGGACGGGGGGGGCGGGGGGGGGGGGGGGGGGGGGGGGGGGGGGTTCTTTAGACACTTGTAACACGGTTTTAAAAAAGTTTCTGGTACGAAAAAACAAAACAACCTGTTACTGCCAACAGACTGCCAACAGACTGGCAACAAACTGCCAACAGACTGCCAACAGACTGCCAACAGACTTCCAACAGACTTCCAACAGACTGCCAACAGACTGCCAACAGACTTCCAACAAACGACTTGATTTGTTCTCATAGCAGATATCCAATGAATTTATGCATGGCTTGTGACAAATCGGTCCCAACAAGTCGGCCTAATTGTAACGCATAGTGGCCCCATTGTAACACATAGTGGCCCCATTGTAACACATAGTGACCCCATTGTAACGCATAGTGGCCCCATTGTAACACATAGTGGCCTCATTGTAACACATAGTGGCCTCATTGTAACACATAGTGACCTCATTGTAAGACATAGTGGCCCCATTGTAACGCATAGTGGCCCCATTGTAACACATAGGGACCTCATTGTAACACATAGTGGCCCCATTGTAACACATAGTGACCTCATTGTAACACATAGTGGCCCCATTGTAACACATAGTGACCTCATTGTAACAAATAGTGACCCCATTGTAACGCATAGTGGCCCCATTGTAACACATAGTGGCCTCATTGTAACACATAGTGGCCTCATTGTAACACATAGTGACCTCATTGTAAGACATAGTGACCCCATTGTAACGCATAGTGGCCCCATTGTAACACATAGTGACCTCATTGTAACACATAGTGACCTCATTGTAAGACATAGTGGCCCCATTGTAACACATAGTGACCTCATTGTAACACATAGTGGCCCCATTGTAACACAAAGTGGCCCCACTGTAACACATAGTGGCCCCATTGTAACACATAGTGGCCCCATTGTAACACATAGTGGCCCCATTGTAACACACAGTGGCCCCATTGTAACACACAGTGGCCCCATTGTAACACACAGTGGCCCCATTTAACACACAGTGTTCCCATTTTTAGGGACTCTCGGGTTTGAGGAGGGGGGACGCTTTGGGGAGAGCATTAAGAGTTTTTTATCTGGTCAACTCGTTGACGCCATTGCCTAAATGTACAAATGTGCTTTGAACTGAATGGAATGGCTTTTGAAAGGTTTCCTGCGAATGCTTTACATGTGCCTTCTGTATAGTACGTGGTGCCATCTATACGTGGTGCCATCTATATACTACGTGGTACCATCTCTATTAGTACGTGGTGCCATCTATATACTACGTGGTGCCATCTATATAGTACGTGGTGCCATCTCTATAGTACGTGGTGCCATCTATACGTGGTGCCATCTCTATACTACGTGGTGCCATCTCTATAGTACGTGGTGCCATCTATATACTACGTGGTACCATCTCTATTAGTACGTGGTGTCATCTATATACTACGTGGTGCCATCTATATAGTACGTGGTGCTATCTATATACTACGTGGTGCCATCTCTATAGTACGTGGTGCCATCTATATACTATGTGGTACCATCTCTATTAGTACGTGGTGCCATCTATATACTACGTGGTGCCATCTATATAGTACGTGGTG